TATAATTTCAAATATACACTAGCCGTACCTCACTTATATACTAGCCTCACCTCACTTATGCACTAACCTCACCTCACTTATACACTAGCCTCACCTCACTTATATACTAAACCGTACCTCACTTATATACTAGCCTCACCTCACTTGTACTCTAGCCTCACCTCACTTATATACTAGCCGTACCTCACTTCGTGCGGCGTCAAAACGGCCAATGACAAAACGGCCCCGACAATTTGACCCCGTCAAAACGGCCAGCGACATATGGACCCCATCATATAGGCTCCCGACAAATAGGCTCCCGTCATTTAGGCTACCGACAAATAGGCTCCCGTTATATAGGCTCCCAACAAAAGGGCTCCAGTCAATAAGGCTCCTGACAAATAGGCTCCCCCCATTTAGTTTCTCCACAAAACGGCCCCCGTCATTACGACTCCCGACAAATAGGCTAGCGTCCTTTTGGCTAACGACAAAAAGGCTCCTGTCAATTTGGCTCCAGACAAAAGGACCACTGACAATACGGTTTCTGTAGAGACTAAGTCTCCCGGCAAAGCGGTCTCATTGAATATGACACCTGCCAGTGGGACCCCTCATCAATATTCTTTAGAGTTAGCTTATCCAACACTCTTAAGTAATACAACGTATGAATCTCTTGTTCGGCAGGCCTTATTTTATATTAGTGTATCGATTATAAAATATAGTATGTTTTAATTTTAGGGTCATCTATCTATGACTTCCATAATTGAGTCGGTTATAGGCTGTTCCAACTCAGTGTGTGGGGAGAAGTGTCCACGCTGTACCTTCCTACCTGCAGTATGCTTGTAGGTTATCAAAACAAAATGCTGTTATCATGTAAACATCATGTATATCATACATTTACACTTCTGTGCTCGCTTTTAAGCAACAGATCATTTCTGTTGTAAATTAAACATTATCAAAACTTCAGAATTGGTGGAATTTAGCTGTTAAGAGCTCGATTTGTTTGTGAATTAATGTTGGTTCGTGAAAAACAATTTTATTCGGGCATTTGAAAGAGTTTATAGTGGTATTGGAGGTAGGACAAAATGGTTACTTTTATGCCAATAGTGGTCATGCCATTCATTGGTCTGGAGCCAATATGTCGGGAGTCATTTTGTCAAAAGCCAATATGTCGAGAGCCCATTTGTCGGGAGCCCATTTGTCTTGAGCCCTTATGTCGGGAGAATATATATCAGGAGCCGCTTTGTCGGGAGCCAATATGTCCTGAGCCTATTTGTCAGGGGTTAATATGTCGGGAGTCCATTTGTCGGGAGCCAAAATATCGGGAGCCCATTTTTCGGCAGCCTATATGTCGCAAGTCAATATGACGGGAGCCCATTTGACGGGAGCCAATATGTCGGGGCCCTTTTGACGGGGCTATTTTGACTGGGTCGTTTTGTCGGGGGGTCGATTTGACGGGGTCAAATTAACTGGGCCGTTTTGACAGGGCACCACCTCACTTATATACTAGCCTCACCTCACTTATATTCTAGCCGTACCTCACTTATATACTAGACGTACCTCACTTATATACTAACCGTACCTCACTTATATACTAGCATCACCTCACTTATATACTAGCCGTACCTCACTTATACACTAGCCCAGTGGCGTAGCTACCATTCCCGGCGCCCGGGGACAAACTTTTTGATTTGCACTCCCCTCAAACTTTCGATTTGCACCCCCCCCCCTTTAAGATTTCGATTTGCGCTCCCCCCCTCAAACTTTCGATTTGCACCCCCCTCAACCTTTCAATTTATTTTTCCAAACCATTTTGGCGCCCCCTAAGGTCGGCGCCCGGGGACATATGTCCCCCCGCCCCAACCCCGATACGCTACTGCACTAGCCTCACCTCACGTAGAGACTAACCATACCTCACGTATAGACTAACCATACCTCACTTGTACGCTAACTTTACCTCACTTGAACGCTAACTTTACCTCACTTGTACACTAATTTTACCTCACTTGTACGCTAACTTTACCTCACTTGTACGCTAACTTTACCTCAGTTGTACGCTAACTTTACCTCACTTGTACGCTAACTTTACCTCACTTGTACGCTAACTTTACCTCACTTGTACGATAACTTTACCTCACTTGTACGCTCTTTACCTCACTTGTACGCTAACTTTACCTCACTTGTACGTTAACTTTACCTCACTTGTACGCTAACTTTACCTCACTTGTACGCTAACTTTACCTTACTTGTACGCTAACTTTACCTCACTTGTACGCTAACTTTACCTCACTTGTACGCTAACTTTACCTCACTTGTACGTTAACTTTACCTCACTTGTACGCTAACTTTACCTCACTTGTACGCTAACTTTACCTCACTTGTACGCTAACTTTACCTCACTTGTACGTTAACTTTACCTCACTTGTACGTTAACTTTACCTCACTTGTACGCTAACTTTACCTCACTTGTACGCTAACTTTACCTCACTTGTACGCTAACTTTACCTCACTTGTACGCTAACTTTACCTCACTTGTACGCTAACTTTACCTCACTTGTACGCTAACTTTACCTCACTTGTACGCTAACTTTACCTCACTTGTACGCTAATTTTACCTCACTTGTAGGCTAACTTTACCTCACTTGTACGCTAACTTTACCTAACTTGTACGCTAACTTTACCTCACGTGTACGCTAACTTTACCTCACTTGTACGCTAACTTTACCTCACTTGTACGCTAACTTTACCTCACTTGTACGCTAACTTTTCCTCAATTGTACGCTAACTTTACCTCACTTGTACGCTAACTTTACCTCAGTTGTACGCTAACTTTACCTCACTTGTACGCTAAATTTACCTCACTTGTACGCTAACTTTACCTCACTTGTACGCTAATTTTATCTCACTTGTACGCTAATTTTACCTCACTTGTACGCTAACTTTACCTCACTTGTACGATAACTTTACCTCACTTGTACGCTCTTTACCTCACTTGTACGCTAACTTTACCTCACTTGTACGCTAACTTTACCTCACTTGTACGCTAACTTTACCTCACTTGTACGCTAACTTTACCTCACTTGTACGCTAACTTTACCTCACTTGTACACTAATTTTACCTCACTTGTAGGCTAACTTTACCTCACTTGTACGCTAACTTTACCTAACTTGTACGCTAACTTTACCTCACTTGTACGATAACTTTACCTCACTTGTACGCTCTTTATCTCACTTGTACGCTAACTTTACCTCACTTGTACGCTAACTTTACCTCACTTGTACTCTAACTTTACCTCACTTGTACGCTAACTTTACCTCACTTGTACGCTAACTTTACCTCACTTGTACGCTAACTTTTCCTCACTTGTACGCTAACTTTACCTCACTTGTACGCTAACTTTACCTCACTTGTACGCTAACTTTTCCTCAATTGTACGCTAACTTTACCTCACTTGTACGCTAACTTTACCTCACTTGTACGCTAAATTTACCTCACTTGTACGCTAACTTTACCTCACTTGTACGCTAATTTTACCTCACTTGTACGCTAATTTTACCTCACTTGTACGCTAACTTTACCTCATTTGTACGCTAATTTTACCTAACTTGTACGCTAACTTTACCTCACTTGTACGCTAACTTTACCTCACTTGTACGCTAACTTTACCTCACTTGTACGCTAACTTTACCTCACTTGTACGCTAACTTTACCTCACTTGTACGCTAACTTTACCTCACTTGTACGTTAACTTTACCTCTCTTGTACGCTAACTTTTCCTCACTTACTTTTTATAAAAGGGGGTCGCCACTTGAAAAAGTTTGGTAACCACTGCTATAGAACAACTGTGTTAAAACTTTTGAAAAAGGGGGTTGGGTGGGGGGAGGGGGAGCAGTTCTGTCCAAATATCTATTATGTGTGTTACTTAATTTGCAATTTCATCAGGTTTTAATTTTTAAATTTCGAAGGGTAAAGATTAGAATTTTAGAAAATAAAACAGTAAAACAGAGCTGCTTCTGTAGGCTAGTAAAAACACTGGTAGTTTAAAAGATAATAGAATTTATGACCGTCGTCCATCCACGCTGGTACAGTTTGTGACTCTCCAATGTGAAAATGACAACACGACTTTCTTCTAGTTTACCGGAATACCGTAGTGTCCAAGTTTTTTGAAGAACTTACAAAAATTTTTTTTTAAAAAAGGGGAACTCAGTCACGTTTTTTTGTTTTTTAAAATTTATCAACACTTTATCATGAGATAAACAGTTAATCGGGGATTTAGATTTTCCATAATTCCCAAGAAATTTATCTCATAGCAGATATAAGCTTCAATAAACACACATCTACATCAGTGTTTCTTCCAGAATTTTTTCTCCGGGGGGGCACTTGAAATTTTCGGGGGGGGGGGGGGGGGGGGCGGTAGACTTTCTTCGGGGGGGGGGGGGGGGGGTGACACTGTTAGAAGTATATATTTTCTATATAAATTATGTACATTTCATTTCGTTCGGGGGGGGGGGGCGGTAAAAATTTTCGGGGGGGGGGGGGGAGGGGGGGCGAAGAGATGCCTGATCTACATTCTTAAAGCGTAGTTAAAACAAATTGTATAACCACCATAGAAAATTAGCACAATGAAAACGTTTTGTCACCACTCCTTGAACCGGCCAAGCGTATCACAAAATTATGGGATATTTAAAGGCAATCCTGTTTGTTTGAAGACATCGTGCTGTTGTACATATAGCAGGTAAAAAAAAAATTTTATACTCTGTGTAACATTCAATAATGTTTTAGTTAGAGTTGAATCTAGTAAGTTTGTTCTAGAAAATATCTAATTGTTCATCATAACATACACATTTAATGGCAGAGTTGACTTTAGTAAGTTTGTTCTAGAAAATATCTAATTGTTCATCATAACATACACATTTAATGGCACACAAACATCTTCGTAACAAATGTATACATTATCGATAATTGCATTTATCTCGGTCCTACAAATTAAACAAAACTAAACGTATTTAAAATGTGTAGACATCATCATGGGAAGTTCACTCCACATGTGCCTTCTCCTGTGCTCCATAGTGTTCACCATGTCAGTACAGCGTGCTCGCTGCGTACCAGGTAATAATGTCCTATACAAATGTCTCATACAAATGTTTCATACAAATGTCTCATACAAATGTTTCATACAAATGTTTCATACAAATGTTTCATACAAATATCTCATACAAATGTCTCATACAACTGTTTCATACAAGTGTCTCATTCGAACGTCTCATGTTTCATACAAATGTTTCATACAAATGTTTCATACAAATGTTTCATTCGAACGTCTCATGTTTCATACAAATGTTTCATACAAATGTTTCATACAAATGTCTCATTCGAACGTCTCATGTTTCATACAAATATCTCATACAAATGTCTCATACAAATGTCTCATACAAATGTCTCATACGAACGTCTCATACAATGTTTCAAACCAAATTTTTCTACTATTGTTTTATACAAATTTCTCATACAAATGTTGCATGCAGATGTTTAATATCAATGTTTCATACAAAAATATATATGGAAAAAGCAATGTGTGTGTGTGTGTGTTTGTGCGTGAGTCTTTTATGCGTTACTACACCTTTCATCTGATCGCCATGAAACTTTTGGGAAGTTGTTAAGAATGTAATTAGGGAGTTTTTTATGAAAAATAAAATTTCAAATTCGCAAGGGTGGCGCCCCGGCAGGGCGCGATTTGTTTTTCTCAATATACGGTATATAAAAATAAAAGTCGATTGCGGTTTCACAGCGTTCATCCGATCGCCATCAAACTTTGGGGAGTTCATTAGAACACTCTAAAGAAGGGTTCTGCAAAGATATCATTTTTAATTTCGCAAGGGCGGCGCCATGTGAGGGTGCGATTTTTCTCTCTATTTTTTTCTCTTTTTTTCTCTCTAGAAAAAAAAAGTCGAATGTGGTCTGACACCGTTCATTCGAGTGCTATGAAACTTTGGGGAACTAATTAGAACAGTCCAGGGGAGGTTCCTGTAAAATATTTTTTTTTTATTTCGCAAGGGCGGCGCCCCGGGAGCGTTCGATTTCTCTCTATATACTGTATATTAAAAATAAAAGTCGTGTGCGATTCGACACCGTTTATCCGTGTGCCATGAAACTTCATGGAGTTGATGAGAAACTTGCGAAAAGGTTTCTGTGAACAAAATAATTAAAATTTGATATAGGCGGCGCCAGGGAGGGTGCAATTTTCGTCAATACACGATTTGACGCCCAGAGTTCTAGAGCGGCTATGTTAGCACTTGGCATCCGTTAATCGTGCGCCCTGCATAGCGGGTAATGAGTTCAACTAAATACAGCGTTAAAACTTCATCAGGGGCAACCGTCGGGCTTTCCCTTAAGTGCAATGGCGCATACGTTTGTTTTAAACAGTGCGGTAGACAATGGATAAGATGGGGCGTTACAGTCGCTCACTAAATTGAATCAGGCGGGTCAGCCGGCGCCCTGGTAGTGTGCGGTTTGGCTGCAAACAAAAATTTCAGTTTAGGCCCAGAAAGGCTCACATCGGCCGCTGAAGACCCTGTAATAAAACTTTTTTGATTAATCACATAAATTAACCAAGCTTAGATTATTAAACGAGATGTTTACTTTTCTCCATAAAAAATCCAAACAATTCCAAAACCTACAGTTCTCAAATTATGAAAATATTTCCGTAAAAATTAGGTTTAAAATGGCAAATCAAATCTAAAAATAAAAGACACACTTCTAAAAAGAACATTGTAACGCGAGGAATACCTTCTTTAAAGTTTTATCACTTAACGAATCATGCAAATAGCATCTATTTTAGACGATCCAATCAGAAATTGAGATCGAGCATCTAATAATACACCATTAGTAACGCCAACGAATTGCATCAGTCACACTGATATTTAAACACGTCAAATTTTTTTCTTCTATGTGTTGAAGAAAAAAACGTGTTGTCACTTTAGTGAATGACGCAATCTGCATTATTGTTGCATGATGCTATTTGTCGCTCCCCTCGACATCCCTAACACATGAGCGGTCCCCGAAGTGTGTTCTACCTCAGTATTACGGTGAGTGATTAACGTACACTCAAGGTTTTCATGCGGCAGTGTAGGTAAACCCGTGTTCCGAAATTTATGATCCAAGCGCAGGCATTGTTTACATTTCAATAACTCACTTTTAGAAAACAAGGTCACCCGTCTAAGAATATAGGATTGGTAACGTATGGATGAAACCCTTCGTATATTTCGTCGGACTTTCTTCTATCCCCGCGGCAACGCGCGCGGATGGGTACGCTAGTATTTCATAAATTGTTTTATAAGACACATTTTTCATACAATATTTCTTTCAATGGTTTCATACACATGTTTCATTCAATTGTTTTATACGAAAGTTTATACAATTTCTTCATAGAATTATTGAATATGGATTTATTTTTTTTACCTCAACTACTGTACATAGAACATTTAAATTTGTCACAGAAATCACGCCTCCCATCTAACATACCTTTTGAAGTATTTGAAAATTCTCTTCTGTTCAGATAATACCTAAAATAGACTTTCTATTTCTTTACTCGTGACTTATTTTACTAGAAACATAAAATTTCTAAAAGTAAAAAATTAAAGCAATTCACTCTTCAAAGTCAAGGTGACTTACGACACGAGCCCCGAAGGGAACCAAGAAATGCCAGAACAAGTGAACTTGACCTTAGTGACCAATGAGAACACAACACAGCTCAACTTAAGGCTTGTCGGTCACATAAATCCTAACGTTCCTGTATACACGATAGGTGTGGACAAGGACGGGAAAATGGTCCACTCCAGGGAACATCTAGCTGTAAGGGAGGTAAGATCCACTCCAGGGAACATCTAGCTGTAAGGGAGGTAAGATCCACTCCAGGGAACATTTAGTTGTAAGGGAGGTAAGATCTACTCCATGGAACAGCTGTAAGGGAGGTTACTTACAAAACACTACGATTTTAAAAATAAAGCTTTTAAAAAGTAAATAAAACATTTGTATACAAATGATTCCAAAATAGGTTGAAGATATATGACATACTAACTCTTACGCAGCCAAGATAAAAACACACTGTGAATTAAATCGACTAGAAAGTTGGTCTAGAAACAGATTAATAAATGAGGGAATAATTTGTTATGAACTTTCTGTTCTACATTTTACATGTCTCTGTATAATCTGTCGCTGTTTTGTATGTCGCTGTTTTATATGTCGATGATTTATATGTCGATGCTTTATATGACGATGTTTTATATGTCGCTGTTTTACATATCTATAATTAACATGTCGCTGTTTTATATGTCGCTGTTTTATATGTCTATGTTTTATATGTCGATGTTTTACATGTCGATGTTTTACATGTCGCTGTTTTATATGTCGATGTTTTATATGTCGATGTTTTATATGTTGCTGTTTTACATATCTATGTTCTACATGTCGCTGTTTTATATGTAGCTGTTTTATATGTCAATGTTTTATATGTTGATGTTTTATATGTTGATGTTTTATATGTCAATGTTTTATATGTCGATGTTTTATATGTCGATGTTTTATATGTCGATGTTTTATATGTTGATGTTTTATATGTCGATGTTTTATATGTCGCTGTTTTATATGTCGATGTTTTATATGTCGATGTTTTATATGTCGATGTTTTATATGTCGATGTTTTATATGTCGATGTTTTATATGTCGCTGTTTTATATGTCGATGTTTTATTTGTCGATGTTTTATATGTCGATGTTTTATATGTCGATGTTTTATACGATGCTGTTTTATATGTTACTGTTTTATATGTCGCTGTTTTACATGTCGCTGTTTTATAAGCCGCTGTTTTTCATGTCGATGTTTTATATGTCGATGTTTTAATATGTCTATGTTTATATGTCGATGTTTTACTTGTCGATGTTTTACATGTCGCTGTTTTATATGTCGTTGTTTTATATGTCGATGATTTATATGTTGCTGTTTTACATATCTATGTTCTACATGTCGCTGTTTTATATGTCGCTGTTTTATATGTCAATGTTTTATATGTCGCTGTTTTATATGTCGATGTTTTATATGTCGATGTTTTATATGTCGATGTTTTATATGTCGCTGTTTTATATGTCGATGTTTTATATGTCGATGTTTTATATGTCGATGTTTTATATGTCGATGTTTTATATGTCGATGTTTTACATGTCGATGTTTTACGTGTCGCTGTTTTATATGTCGATGTTTTATATGTCGATGTTTTATATGTCGATGTTTTATATGTTAATGTTTTATATGTCGATGTTTTATATGTCGATGTTTTATATGTCGATGTTTTATATGTCGATGTTTTATATGTCGATGTTTTATATGTCGCTGTTTTATATGTCGATGTTTTACATGTCGATGTTTTTATGTCGCTGTTTTAGATGTCGATGTTTTATATGTCGATGTTTTATATGTTGATGTTTTATATGTCGCTGTTTTATATGTCGATGTTTTATATGTCGATGTTTTATATGTTGCTGTTTTACATATCTATGTTCTACATGTCGCTGTTTTATATGTCGCTGTTTTATATGTCAATGTTTTATATGTCGCTGTTTTATATGTCGATGTTTTATATGTCGATGTTTTATATGTCGATGTTTTACATATCTATGTTCTACATGTCGCTGTTCTATATGTCGCTGTTTTATATGTCAATGTTTTATATGTCGCTGTTTTATATGTGGATGTTTTATATGTCGATGTTTTATATGTCGATGTTTTGTATGTCGCTGTTTTATATGTCGATGTTTTATATGTCGATGTTTTATATGTCGATGTTTTATATGTCGATGTTTATATGTCGATGTTTTACATGTCGATGTTTTACGTGTCGCTGTTTTATATGTCGATGTTTTATATGTCGATGTTTTATATGTCGATGTTTTACATGTTAATGTTTTTTATTGTGGATGTTTTATATGTCGATGTTTTATATGTCGATGTTTTATATGTCGATGTTTTAAATGTCGCTGTTTTATATGTCGCTATTTTATATGTCGATGTTTTATATGTCGATGTTTTATATGTCGATGTTTTATATGTCGATGTTTTATACGTTGCTGTTTTATATGTTACTGTTTTATATATCGCTGTTTTACATGTCGCTGTTTTATAAGCCGCTGTTTTTCATGTCGATGTTTTATATGTCGATGTTTAATATGTCGATGTTTTATATGTCGATGTTTATATGTCGATGTTTTACATGTCGATGTTTTACGTGTCGCTGTTTTATATGTCGATGTTTTATATGTCGATGTTTTACATGTTGCTGTTTTATACGTCGATGTTTTATATGTGTATGTTTTATACGTCGATGTTTTATATGTCGATGTTTTATATGTCGATGTTTTATATGTCGATGTTTATATGTCGATGTTTTACATGTCGATGTTTTACGTGTCGCTGTTTTATATGTCGATGTTTTATATGTCGATGTTTTACATGTTTCTGTTTTATACGTCGATGTTTTATATGTGTATGTTTTATATGTCGATGTTTAATATGTCGATGTTCTACATGTCGCTGTTTTATATGTCGCTGTTTTATATGTCAATGTTTTATATGTCGCTGTTTTATATGTCGATGTTTTATATGTCGATGTTTTATATGTCGATGTTTTATATGTCGCTGTTTTATATGTCGATGTTTTATATGTCGATGTTTTATATGTCGATGTTTTATATGTCGATGTTTTATATGTCGATGTTTTACATGTCGATGTTTTATATGTCGCTGTATTATATGTCGATGTTTTACATGTCGATGTTTTAGATGTCGATGTTTTAGATGTCGATGTTTTATATGTCGATGTTTTATATGTTGATGTTTTATATGTCGCTGTTTTATATGTCTCTGTTTTATATGTCGATGTTTAATATGTCGATGTTTTATATGTCGATGTTTATATGTCGATGTTTTACATGTCGATGTTTTACGTGTCGCTGTTTTATATGTCGATGTTTTATATGTCGATGTTTTACATGTTGCTGTTTTATACGTCGATGTTTTATATGTGTATGTTTTATATGTCGATGTTTTATATGTCGATGTTTTATATGTCGATGTTTTATATGTCGATGTTTATATGTCGATGTTTTACATGTCGATGTTTTACTTGTCGCTGTTTTATATGTCGATGTTTTATATGTCGATGTTTTACATGTTTCTGTTTTATACGTCGATGTTTTATATGTGTATGTTTTATATGTCGATGTTTTATATGTCGATGTTCTACATGTCGCTGTTTTATATGTCGCTGTTTTATATGTCAATGTTTTATATGTCGCTGTTTTCTATGTCGATGTTTTATATGTCGATGTTTTATATGTCGATGTTTTATATGTCGCTGTTTTATATGTCGATGTTTTATATGTCGATGTTTTATATGTCGATGTTTTATATGTCGATGTTTTATATGTCGATGTTTTACATGTCGATGTTTTATATGTCGCTGTATTATATGTCGATGTTTTACATGTCGATGTTTTAGATGTCGATGTTTTAGATGTCGATGTTTTATATGTCGATGTTTTATATGTTGATGTTTTATATGTCGCTGTTTTATATGTCTCTGTTTTATATGTCGATGTTTTATATGTCGATGTTTTATATGTCGATGTTTTATATGTCGATGTTTTATATGTCAATGTTTTATATGTCGCTGTTTTATATGTGGATGTTATATGTCGATGTTTTATATGTCGATGTTTTATATGTCGCTGTTTTATATGTCGATGTTTTATATGTCGATGTTTTATATGTCGATGTTTTATATGTCGATGTTTATATGTCGATGTTTTACATGTTGCTGTTTTATAGGTCGATGTTTTATATGTCTATTTTTTATATGTCGATGTTTTATATGTCGATGTTTTATATGTCGATGTTTTACATGTCGACTTTTTACATCTCGCTGTTTTATATGTCGATGTTTTATATGTCGATGTTTTATATGTTTATTTTTTATATGTCGATGTTTTATATGTCGATGTTTTATATGTCGATGTTTTATATGTCGATGTTTTATATGTCGATGTTTTATATGTCGATGGTTTATACGTTGCTGTTTTATATGTTACTGTTTTATATGTCGCTTTTTTACATGTCGCTGTTTTATAAGCCGCTGTTTTTCATGTCGATGTTTTATATGTCGATGTTTTATATGTCTATGTTTTATATGTCGATGTTTTATTTGTCCATGTTTTTGATGTCGATGTTTTATATGTCGATGTTTTATATGTCCATGTTTTACATGTCGATGTTTTACATGTCGCTGTTTTATATGTCGTTGTTTTATATGTCGATGTTTTATATGTTAAAGTTTTTTATGTCGATGTTTTATATGTCGATGTTTTACATGTTGCTGTTTTATACGTCGATGTTTTATATGTGTATGTTTTATATGTCGATGTTTTACATGTCGATGTTTTACATGTCGCTGTTTTATATGTCGATGTTTTATATGTCGATGTTTTAAATGTTGCTGTTTTACATATCTATGTTCTACATGTCGCTGTTTTATATGTCGTTGTTTTATACGTCAATGTTTTATATGTCGATGTTTTATATGTCGATGTTTTATATGTCAATGTTTTATATGTCGATGTTTTATATGTCGATGTTTTATATGACGATGTTTTATATGTTGATGTTTTATATGTCGATGTTTTATATAACGATGTTTTATATGTCGATGTTTATATGTCGATGTTTACATGTCGATGTTTTACATGTTGCTTTTTTATACGTCAATGTTTTATATGTCTATTTTTTATATGTCGATGTTTTATATGTCGATGTTTTATATGTCGATGTTTTACATATCGACTTTTTACATCTCGCTGTTTTATATGTCGATGTTTTATATGTCGATGTTTTATGTGTTTATTTTTTATATGTCGATGTTTTATATGTCGATGTTTTATATGTCGATGTTTTATATGTCGATGTTTTATATGTCGATGTTTTATATGTCGATGTTTTATACGTTGCTGTTTTATATGTTACTGTTTTATATGTCGCTGTTTTACATGTCGCTGTTTTATAAGCCGCTGTTTTTCATGTCGATGTTTTATATGTCGATGTTTTATATGTCTATGTTTTATATGTCGATGTTTTACATGTCGATGTTGTACATGTCGCTGCTTTATATGTCGATGTTTTACATGTCGATGTTTTATATGACGATGTTTTATATGTCGATGTTTTATATGTCGATGTTTTATTTGTCGATGTTTTATATGTCGATGTTTTATATGTCGATGTTTTATATGTCGATGTTTTATATGTCGATGTTTACATGTCGATGTTTTACATGTTGCTTTTTTATACGTCAATGTTTTATATGTCGCTGTTTTATATGTCAATGTTTTATATGTCGATGTTTTATATGTCGATGTTTTATATGCAATGTTTTAAATGTCGAAGTTTTATATGTCGATGTTTTATATGACGATGTTTTATATGTCGATGTTTTATATGTCGATGTTTTATATGACGATGTTTTATATGTCGATGTTTTATATGTCGATGTTTTATATGTCGATGTTTTATATGACGATGTTTTATATGTCGATTTTTTATATGTCGATGTTTTATATGTCGATGTTTTATATGTCGATGTTTATATGTCGATGTTTTACATGTTGCTGTTTTATAGGTCGATGTTTTATATGTCGATGTTATACATGTCGATGTTTTACATGTCGCTGTTTTATATGTCGATGTTTTATATGTCGATGTTTTATTATTCGCTGTGTTACATATCTATAATTTACATGTCGCTGTTTTATATGTCGATGTTTTATATGTCGATGTTTTATATGTCGATGTTTTAAATGTTGCTGTTTTACATATCTATGTTCTACATGTCGCTGTTTTATATGTCGTTGTTTTATACGTCAATGTTTTATATGTCGATGTTTTATATGTCGATGTTTTATATGTCAATGTTTTATATGTCGATGTTTTATATGTCGATGTTTTATATGACGATGTTTTATATGTCGATGTTTTATATGTCGATGTTTTATATGACGATGTTTTATATGTCGATGTTTTATATGTCGATGTTTTATATGTCGATGTTTATATGTCGATGTTTTACATGTTGCTGTTTTATAGGTCGATGTTTTATATGTCGCTGTTTTATATGTCGATGTTTTATATGTCGATGTTTTATATGTCGATGTTTTATATGTTAATGTTTTATATGTCGCTGTTTTATATGTCGATGTTGTATATGTCGATGTTTTTTATGTCGATGTTTTATATGTCGATGTTTTATATGTCGCTGTTTTATATGTCGATGTTTTATATGTCGATGTTTTTCATGTCGATGTATTATATGTCGATGTTTTATATGTCGACAGAACATCGGCTACTACCAGGACGCTGAGAACTTCGCAGCTTTTCAGATAATTCGGACGGATGACACTGACGTGAACCGTACGCGTTTATCCCTTGTAAGTACACGCCAGTCAAATGTCCAACTACCCTAGTACATAAGCCGTATGTGTTTAGGTTGCTGTAACATATTCTAGTACATAAGAAACAAAACTGTGTGTATTGTATAACAGTAAATCAGACAACTACGGGTTAAATCAAATCAATGTGTGTATTGTATAACAGTAAATCAGACAACTTCGAGTTAAATGTGGACCTGTGTTTTAGACCGGCGAGTTCCGCAGATCGGGTGAAAAGTTCTTGCTCAAGCAGACGAGCCGTGCTAAAAGAGACGTGTCCTCTCAAGATGAAACCTACGAGCTCAGTCTAGTGCAGACACCACCATTAAACGACAGAATGTACGACTTTGCCAACTCAAGTAAGTTTGATGATTGCCAGATCTGATCCATTTTAATTTTACTTAATTAACAAAAGCGTAGGAAAATACCTTCATACCGTGGTACGTTGAAATACGAGTATTGTGAAGATAAAAAAAAAACACGCCTAAAAACGATTAAATAATCTTGTAAACGTCTTACACTCTTAATTCTACCGAAACACAAATTGCTATATTGGGACGTATTGTTGCTTATTGGAAATTGGGACCATGTGCGCATTCTTAGTTTGAACAACCGTTATAAATTGTTTTACTGTCTTAAAAAACTTTAAACGTTTGTATTTCCCTTCAGCTGCAAATGGTTTTGGGGCATTGTTGAGGCAGCATGCGGGCAGAGTGAGAACCAACGGGCGCACGTCTAACCTGACTCGCCGTACGACCAGAAGACGAAAGCAAGCCGTCAACGTATTTACCGTTGATATTGCGGCTGTTGTTGACTACGGCGCCTACAGACTCCATTATGCTAGAGCTAAATACAACAGAACTTTGGCCCTTCAAAACATACGAGAGTATTACGCCTTTATATTTAATGGGGTGAGTCATTTAATTCTTGTAGGCCTATATCTTTAGCAATGAATCTTATAAAAAAAACTTTTATAACAAATAGCTGCAAACTTATCGTGGTGGCATCTGGTTTCATTAACGGAAGGGGGGGGGGGAAGGGGTAGGGGGAACGGGAAAACAGCAACCAAATATGAACATGTAGACAATGTTCGTGAAATTGTTGTTGAGTTTGTTATTTTACTGCAGAATATGGCGGTAGATATGGAACGTTTGACTTGAAAATATTTTGTAAACAGTGCCGGCGCCAGGTTATTTAGCGCCTAGGCAAAACATATTAATACGCCCCTTTTCACACAAATTAACTAATATGTATAAGAAAACAGTTAATTAAAAATGACATATTTATTTATTAAAATTACTTAAACGTTACACGTCAATGTGTACATCAAAATCAAATTTTACTTCCCTCCTTCGTCGCAAACTTTGTACTAATTCCTTCAATTCCAGTGTAGAAGCAAAATCACATTCTATTGAAATTGCTGCCAAGTCAACGAGTCTACTTTACGATATAGTCCCCCCCCCCCAACCCGAAAATTTAAAGTGCCCCCCCCCCCCCGGAGAATAAAGCTGGAAAAAAATAACCACTGAAAAAACAGTTCTTGTCGTGTTGGGCTCTATGTAGACTTCTTAACGTGAATTCCAGAACGGAACTTACCTGTTTTAAGCTTGACTGTCTTTAGGTATAATTGTAAAATGTCTATATTGTGTTGTTGTTTTTTTTTTTTAATAAAAGTTTATAAATGTTATAGATTCCAGTCTACAATTGTAATATATGAATTATTTAGTAGAGGGTGAAAAATATGAAAAAGACACTTAATTAATGAGATGATTAATTTTCGACTAAGATGATTTTAGACTGCATGTCTACTAATATTAAGTACGATATGAATGGACCATTGAGTAAGAAATACAACGGCGCTCTCACAGTATGTCTACTAATATTAAGTACGAGAAAAATGGCCCGTTGAGGAAGGATACAACGGGCGCTAGGTTGATAGTGCTGTCTATTTTCCCTAAACTTAAACCAAAACCAAAATCACCACCTTAATTCAATTTAACCGGAAACAAAAAATGACATTGAAAACGGATTTTTATCCAGAATCGGTACTTTAATAGAATTTAAGCTTGATTTCTACGTATTTACTGCACATTGATACTAATGTTACCGTCATAGAATAAATAATCTCAATAAAGACAAAAGTCGCATTTATTCTCTTTTAGGCGACACTACTTGTCTCCCCCCTCTCCCCCCCCCCCCCCCCACACACATACCTCAACGAACATCTACCGTCCCATTCAACGAAATATATACTTTTTCTAGTGTCCGCCCCCTCCCAGAAAATTCCACCCCGACCCCGAAAATTTCAAGTACCCCCACTCCACCCCGGGGAGGAAAAAGTCTGAAAGAAACACTGGTCGCATTTGTAGATCATACAAACTAAAGGGAGAACCTGGGAGGGGCTTCGCCACTACCGGAAGAGATGCATGAAAGAAACTGTGCACGCAAAACACTTTTTAGATTAGAAAAAGTTCCCCCCTCCAGGGAGGAAAAAGTCTGAACGAAACACTGATGTTGCGCTTAACCACTACCCGAAGAATTGCATGAAAGAAACTCTATACGCAAAACGCTTATAAGATTAGACACAATAATTATGCCTTGATGTCAGTCTTTTTATTATAGAGTATCGATGACGTCATTTCTTTTGAGTTCGCGGTGGGAGGGGGGCAGGGGGGGGGGGGGGGAATAGGGCTTCGCCTCTACCCGAATAATTGCATGAAAGAAACTCTGCTCGCAAATCACTTTAAAGATTGGACAACATTAGCTTTTGAATTCAATCTTTACTCGAGAATCAATAACGTCATATTATTGTGTGCACTCCCCCGGCTTTAGGGCCTAAACTATTTCCTACTATATGCCTCATGTGACGTCACGTTTGGTTTTCGTTTTACTATGAAAGATTTTATTTTGCTTGTGTTTTCTTTATAGCCGGCTTTAGACTGTTTTCTACTATATTCCATGTGACGTCACGTTTCGTTTTCGTTTTACAATGGAAGTTTTTATTTTGCTTATGTTTTCTCTAGAGCGTTCTTGTCAGATAGATAGATAGATACACAGATACATAGATACACAGACAGCGAAACTGTTATTATAGATTGCAATCTACAACGGCTACTGATGTATTTGTTTTTCAATTTAATAATGCTAAAAAAAAACAACCGAACTATTTTGTTTAGAACTGCTGCTCTATATAATTTTTACAATACCAAATAATAACTTAAAGTTATATTTATAAGTAAGCGGTCAACCTAAGGTGAGTAATTTGAAACGAATGTAGAGTTAAACAAAGAAATATCTCAAATTGGAAATCCAAATACCAAAATCTCATTCAAGGAAAAATGCTTTCTTAAGAATAAACTCAATTAATTAAATGTAACTAAGACATGCTTGAAAAAAACAATTTCCCCCTTTAAACGTCATTACATAATCATTATACCTAATTTATTTTATATATTAACTAGCGTACCCGACTCGCGCGCGTTGCCGCGGGGATAGAAGAAAGTCTGACGAAATATATTAGAAGGATATCACCAATGCATTACCAATCATATGTTCTTAAACGCGTGTCCTTCTTTTCTAAAACTGTGTTATTTAAATATAAACAATGCTTGCGCTTGGATAATAATTATCGGGACACGGGTTTTCCTTGAGTGTACATTAATTACTCATCGAAATAATGAGGTAGAACACACTTTGGTGACCACCCATGTGTCAGGGACGTAGAGCTGCGCTCTCAGGAGCCCCCCACCCCCCGATTACACTACGCATAGGCGCAGCGTACGGACCCTGGCTCCTTAAAACTAACAGGCGCCATCGTGCTCATAGGATAACCCAGCGTGCCAATAGCATCCTGTTAATAATGATGCACATTTCGTCATTCGCTAAAGTGACACAAATGAACAGAAATTTTTATTTAATACGTAAAAAAAATTATTTGACGTGTTTTAAACATCAGTGTGACTGATGCAATATGCTAGCGTTACTAATGTTCTATTATTAGATGCTCGATCTCAATTTCTGACCGAATCGTCTAATAATAGATGCTTATTGCATCTTTCGCAAGGTGACGAAACTCTACAGTAGGCTCCTCATATTCAAAAAGTTATTTTTTCATCTTTCGCAAGGTGACGAAACTGTACAGGATTTCCTCGCGTTACAAAGTTATTTTTAGCAGCCTGTTGTTGTTTTACCGCTGAATATAGTAGTACCACTTACTCGCTATGCAGGACGCTCGATTAACGGATGCCAAGTGCCAACATAGTCATATTACGAAACACCACTCTATCAGCCACAGAGCTGGCGAACGTACCCGGGTTCGTTTATATGGTTATACACAGATGGCTTAAAGCCCTATAAAAGGTAGCTGGCACAACAGTTAACGAGGACACGTACTTAACGTCTAGGGGATACACTCGATGAACTCCTGATATCAACAACACATTTAATCCATATATAACTTTTAATATGTGTACAAATTCAAGATAAGACTCTAGCTTTATACAGAATAAAATGAATGAGTAGAATAGCAAAAACCCAACTTACAATTTGAAGAAAAAACACTATGTTACACTATCACAGGATATGGCACTTAGGAAAATCACCACAGCTTATACGACACTACTTAAAGCACAAAATATTACTTAAAACCACAAGTAATAAGTTAAAAATGCTGCTTAAAAACTATAGGCTACAAAATAGCGACACTCAAGGCTTTCTCTCTCAAAGATGTCTGCTCTGACTGCTGCTATGGACTGCTGCGGTCGGCTGCTCCAGAAACGTGTGCGCAGACTATTTGACACCTGAGGCAACCTGGGAGGTCACCTTCAAAACATAAGACTATTGGTTGGGACATCTCTGATGTCCGAATCAACCAATCGAAAGTATAAAAGTATTGCACCACCTCTCGTGATGGAAAAGTACTGGGTATATGTCTTTCTTGAAACTATGGAAAAATACCGGGGGTTGCACCACAGGTCACTCATGGTTGAGTAATAAAAGTCAAACTAAAAAAAATACAAGACCTAAGTAGGTCACAGTCGCTCTAAAACTCTGGGCGCCAAACCGTGTATTGACGAAAGTTGTACCCTATATGGCGCCGCCCATAAGAAACTTTAGTTTTCTTTTTCGCAGAAATATTCTCGGGAGTATTCTCATCTACTCCCTAAAGTTTCATGGCACTCGGATGAACCGCATCCGAGTTTTATTTTTTATATACCGCGTATAGAGAAAAAAAATCGCCCCCCGCCGCCCTTGCAATATTAAACAATATTTTTTTTTGCAGAACCCTATCATTGAGTGATCTAATCAGCTCCCAAAAGTTTCATGGTACACGGATGAACGGTGTAAAACCGACATTTTATAAACCGTATATAGCGAAAAATCGCAGCCTCCCGTGGCGCCGCCCTTGTGAAATTAAAAATGATTTTTTTACAGAACCCTTCCCTAGAGTGGTATAATGAACTCCCCAAAGTTTCATGCCTATCGGATGAACGGTGTCACTGCAATTAACTTTTAATATTTTTATATACCGTATATAGAGAAAAATCGGACCCTCCCGTGGCGCCGCCCTTGCAAAATTAAAAAGTAATTTTTTACAGAACTCTTCCCTGAATTGCTCTCATCAACTTTCCAAAGTTTGACGGCGATTGGACGAACAGTGTGAACCTGCAATCGACTCTTATTTTTTATATACCGTATATAGAGAAAAAACAAATCGCGCCCTGCCGGGGCGCCACCCCTGCAAATTTGAAAATGTATTTTAAGCAGAAACCACCCCATGAATATTCCCAACATATTCCCAAAGTTTCATGGCGATCGTTGAACGGTGTCACTGCAATTCACTTTTATTATTTTTATATACCGTATATAGAGAAAAATCGCAGCCTCCCGTGGCGCTGCCCTTGCGAAATTA